AATTTACATACCAAATCACTGCAATGCTAAGAATGTGGATGCTGAGTTCTTTAAACGGATCCGATCCTCCTACTATGTAGTCAGTGGTAATGATCCAACAGCACAGGAGCCCAGTAAGGCAGTTCTGGATGCTCTGCTGGAAGGAAAGAGCCAATGGGGAAATAATATGCAGGTACCATTATTCCTACAGTGGTCTTATTTATATTTTATATATATATATATATATATATTAATGTTGCCTGCCATAAAATGACTTTGCATATCATATTGATAGGTCACACTGATTCCAACCCATGATACAGAAGTTATGAGGGAGTGGTACCAGGAAACCCATGAGAAGCAGCAAGACTTGAACATCATGGTTTTGGCAAGCAGCAGCACTGTGGTCATGCAAGATGAGTCTTTCCCTGCATGTAAGATTGAGCTGTGATTGTCATGATCTAGATGTGGTAGAGGTTGGATGCTAGACAGCAAACAAATGAAAAACGTAGTACATACAGTACATTCACAAAAGCAAATGTTTTGGATCACATTCCACATACTCAATAGAGGAACCAGTAAAAATGTTTCTCAGTAAAATTATCTAGTACTTTTTGAGGTCTCAGGTTGTGAAAAAGTTTGGTTAGACATTGTTGACCACACAAAGACCAATTTTTGGTGTGAATCAGACCTCCTTAAACACACAAACAACCAGCAGAAGCTAAACTAAACTAAACAACTGACTAAATGCATACAGTAGTCGGTGGATGAACACTGTACTGAGCAGCTCCAATAAAATTGAACAAACCCAGGGGTGAGAACCAGAAAGGCGTAAGTGACATTTCACCAACTTTACAGGAGAGCCAAAACAAAAAAATTACCATAGTTTGATCTGACTTTGTGTACTGATTTCAATTGTTTATAATAAAAATGTGTACACTCATGGATGACATCCTTTTGCCAGTAGAAAGAGCTCATTAAGAGCTTTCATTTGATATATATATCTCCATTTCACCAAAAATGTCACTTACGCCCTTCTGGTTCTCACCCCTCGAAACTACAAATGTATTTATTTACAAACAGATAAATGGATCACTGAAAAAGAACTCCTTAAATGGTCATGTTTACGCCAAAGTTTGAGGGATTGTTTTAATGCCTTATGAAGTTAAACTGAATGTACAACAAACATAATGCACTTAATATGAGAACAATTAAATGGTATGTATGATCCACGGTTACATAAATATATCATAGGATGCAAAAGCTACATTAAACATCATATTCCAGCTGCACTGAGTTGCATAAAATATGAATGTGAAGCTTGCTACCTTTGTGATTAAATGCAAAATAGAACAATGATATAACTAATTTAAAAGACTCTCTTAAGAAAAATAAATACCTGAGAAAACATGAAATGTCATACGTTTTATGTAAAAAAAATTAATGTTACAGTAAAAAAAAAAAACATGCATCTCATACCTCTTTTTCCTGGACTAGCAAATAATTAATTAATTATATTGTCACTATTGTAACATATGCATTTTTTTCAGATAGGAGATCTTTCTTTAAAACTGCCCATCATTAGTTTGACACCAGCCTTTTTTAATAGAGTAAAATTGAACTCCAAAAACTGTTATTCATCAATTTGTACTAGTTATTATTTGCATTTATTTATGTTAATGTTGTTATCTGAGCAATACAGTCGTTATATTTATTTGCTTTATTTAATGCTTAAATTATTTATAACAGAAAAATGTGCCTTTTTGGCATTCCTATGAAGTTAATCATGAAAAGAGATCTCTAAAATGCAAAACTCTTGTCGATTCAGAGTTGTGTCAAAGTTCAACATTTTTGTTTTTCTTTGATAACTATTGTTTTCTTCTCTTACTCCAAATGGGGTTGATTATCCTTTTAACTGAACATTTCACTCGATGTTGAGAGCTCCTCTGTATGCACTGTTCATCCAAATCTTATCCATCTACGATTTTTATTTTCTTAGCTTGTCAATGTTGCCAAGAAGAGCCATCAAGATTGTGGTACATTGAAAGTTGAGAGACTGAAAACTTTCCTTTCCTTTGGAATCTTTTATAAAATTGCACTGTACTATAATTATAAATAGCTTAGTGACGGAGTGAGTGGTCGGATGATATGTGCATGTGTAATGTATTATCCTTGACATTTCTCCGTGCTTTCTTTCACTAAGAGGGGAAACTCACTCTTTAGTGCCAACACATCACTGCAAGGATATGACAATTCATGATTGTAAAATCGTGAACTTGGATCTGGTTTACTGTATCTTAATGTCACCTTTTTTATCAATAACCATACAGTCATGAAAATGTACCATCTCATTGAACGTTGTCATAGAGATTTGAATTCCAATCATTAATTCCTATGACGCTACCACAGTATACGGATTTTACAGTTTACCAGAATCTACTTGACAATACAGGATTATGCCACAGGTTGTTAAAATATTTCAAAGCCATAACTGCTTGAAATATTTTCATTACAATATTTAGAACCAACAACACGTCAACAAAACAAACTACTGAGGAACTTGGTGCCATTGTGGCCGAACACTTTTCAACAGCTCAGTGTAATAGTAAACTTGATACGACATTTATTAACTCAGAACTGGACACTTCTTAATTACATACTAACAGCAGCACTGGTTAACAGACTCTTCTAGCCACATGCTTCTGCAAAGTGCACTGTTGTTTATCCACAAGACGTCTACATTACTAAATACAACACACACATCCAGTCAATCACTCCCCTCTTTCCTCTGACCCTCTGTAACACTTCACTTTCTCTCAAAACTTCACAATCCCTCTTGTTCTCCTCGCTCACCTTCGGGTGCTAGTAAGAATATGTGTGCAGTTGTGTATGAAATATATATATATCTTGTGAATTTGCATCTTTCCTCTATTTATTCCTAATCCCATATCTAGAGGATAGTCTCAAGTGAAAGTATTACCTAGTGCTTTTTCTGTTGTTTGTGTGCGATAACTCTTTCCAACTATGGGGTGTTTGATGTAAAGGGAACTACACTTAAAAAGAAGGTAAATCAGTCCACAATAAATAATTCTGTGGAAAATACTTTGTGTTCTTTTTTTATAGAGTATGTTAGTTCACGCACTCCACAAAATGTGGTTGTGTTGTTTGTGGGGGGATTTGTGTGCTTGTGGTTGCTCACAGGCTTTTCTGAGAGTTTGATTGGCTACAAAACAGGCCTGAGCCCTAGGGATCATGTGTCTGATTCTGGTTAGAGGTCTGGCTCTGACCAAATTTACTCAAAATAAACAGGATTTAGGCAAGGATTTGTGCATTCAAATTTGGCCTTGAAACAAAAAAGTAAAAAAAAAAAATGACCATAACTTTAACTTAACATTTTAACTTTTTAACTTTTCATTTAAATAAAAGAATAGCAATATTGCATGCTTTTATACAACAACAGAAAACACATTTAAAATGTACTCTTGAAAATAAGATGCATTGCTGTTATGGTAAATCAAGACCGGTTTGCATTAGCATCTATTTGATTGAGGGACCACAGACTGGTCACTGGCCTGGCAGTCTACCATGCCATCACTGCCCTTATGCCATGGAGGACATTAACTAATGATGACTTGTGCACTACAGGTATTTTTCAAACCCAGACAGAACCATAGCAGTAAATCAAAATGGAAATATCTAGCGGCAAAAGTACCAGAGAAATAACATTGGCTGAAGTTCAAGGTGAGAAGTCTGGGTCACAGCATGCTATCCCTTTTATGTATCTGAGCATGATGTCAGCAGATCAATGCAGGTTAGATGGGTCATGGAACCTTAAGTGACTTTAGAACAACTGTGTGCTTTAATGTTAAAGGAGTAAAGGAAGTATCGTGTAAAATATACATACATACATAAATACACATTTATATGTGTATCTATACACTCTAAAAAAATTGTGGGTTGTTTCAACCCGACTTTGGGTCAAATATGGTCTAACCCAACTATTGGGTTACATTTTTAAATTAAATTTTTAACCCAAAAGACGGGTTAGTCCATATTTGACCCAAAGTTGGGTTGAGTTGGGTTTTTAGCATTTTTTTTAACATTAAAGCATTATATATATATATATATATAGAGAGAGAGAGAGAGAGAGAGAGAGAGAGTTCTCTTTTTTAACATGACGCTTGATACAGCAAATATTATCTCTTCCAAAATGCACTAAAACCACATAAACACTCCATACATCATGTAGCAAACAATCTCACCAATAAAAACACTCACTCATAAAAAAATTATTTGAAAACACTGAATATGGTAACATAACTGGATAATAATAGTTCTTTAAGTATCTTTCAATTTCAACTTAAACATAAGATATTGAGGGGAAGAGAAAAATTAATTCTGTAGTTCACTGTGATGTTGAACATGTTTTGTTTTTATATTCAAAATGTAAAAGTGAGCAAAACAGGCTTTTATTAAAGTTCTGGTTGACTGAGTGACAAAAGATTTCATGAGATTGGAAAGAAATGGTTATTGAATGCATTTTGTAACAAGGCAAAGAAAAATATTCACTATATAATTAAAGGCTTTTCAAAACGTGAAGTATAGTTATTGAGAAATGCACACAACCAATCTATGTAAAAACTGTAATATTGGCAGTTATGAATGTACAGTTGCTAAACAACAAATTAGATTCATTGGGTAATGGTAAAGAAAGCACTACATAAACCTGTAATTTGGCCACTCACACTATGCTCTTGTTAAAAAAAAAAACATACAGAGTCACAAGTATGAGCAAGAAATACACTGGTAGAGCTGCAAAGCTTTGTTTCAAATGGTATTGTAATTTATCTAATTTAAGTGAAAACAAGTACACATGATCTATGGCAGGAAAAATCAATGATGTCCTGAATTTACGTTATTAGCCATGTTATTCTCATAGCATCATTTGAACACCTCCATCTTGGAGCTCATCAATAATCCAGCACACTTGAGAGTCAGCCTCCAATTGGGCAAATGACGGTCTCAGCTGAGTGGGGTGAGGTGCTGTTGCTAAGGAAACACTCAGCAGAGTCCCACCAGGACCACGCAAGGACTCTAAGTATAACATAATCAGTGTTCTGTTACTGTCTATCTTTAACATCTTACATATATCTCACACACACACACACACACTTGTAGTATAGGCTTATATTGTTTTATATAAACCTCTTTACAAAAATATTACAAAATACTAACCCCTAAATAGAAATGTTTTGCATTTTTAGTACTCTTTGTGTCACTTTTCAATTAAGGATGGCTCTGAATTTCCCCAAACCAAGGTTTGGTTAGATTAAGCTCATGTCTGAAGACAAAAAACTGTCTACACACTAGCATGTTTACTTGCAGACCTTTCCATCCATCTTGAATAAATAAATAAACAGATTCCCCACTGTGTTTGCACTGTCAGCACTTCTTGTAATTGATCACACATTTATGTGAACTGTGGGCAATCAAATCTCAATTTCCCTCTCACATCCAATCAGCTCAAAAGTCTTTTGAATCATCACTCTGTAAAATAACCATCTAGACCTACTTTAAATTTATGGCCATGTCATCCTGTCAGCTTTATATGCTTTACATATACATCTTTATTTTTTCCTATTCTTTGCATGTACCTTTGTATACCAGAAAGCATTGAAATATCCACCCATCACAGTGAGTTATCATGCAAGAACACTATGTCCAGCTTAACAGAGAAGATGCCCTTGGCTACAGTCACAAATTCAATCCCTGACAATCCTGTACAGTCATCAATCACAGAGCCAACTTCAATGACCTACACCCCTTTAAAAATAATGCTCATCTAAGGGTTTATCTAAAGTACAAACATC